CATTTTCAAGGACAAAGCGGAGCGCCCACCCACCAGCCCGCCACAACCCCCCGTAAACCAGCCTATGAGTCCTTATCCACCAGCAAACCGATTGGGATTGGCACAAAACCCCAATTTTGTTCCCACCCTCCCCCTTTTGATGACCGCAAGTGGAATTCTACCTACCTGCCCCCTTTGGGAAAACCACGGTAATAAACGAATTTTTGGGAATTATTCTTTGCCCAGCCATTGTGGAAATTATTGTCAGGGAAAGTAATAAGTATTTTCAGTACCCATAGCAAATACGATCTTATCACCACAGTCAAGACTCCAAGGTGGAAAAGGACGACTGTTGCAAAAATGTATTGCTTTTTGCAACAAAAATGCCTTATGCCTCCGTCTATAAGCATAAAAAAAAGCTTGGTCCCAGATCGGAAAATTTGTACCCCATCCTTCATGAAATAAACCAGGAACATTTTTATCTTACTGTTACGATGTTCACTTTCTCTGAAAAAACCAGGCTGACAGAAGAACGGGTTATACAAGATTAAAAATTTTTTTCATGTATCCCAAACAAAAGTTCAGGATAAAATTTTATCCTTTAAAAATCTTGTAATTGCGAGTCTTTGTTTTTGTTAAAAGGGTAGACTGTCATTCAAGCAGTACATAGACAAGAGGAAAACCCCTTTGGTATAAAATTGTTTGTACTCGTGATTGGACGGGGCCCGGTGTTGGTATTGTTGTATAACGGGTAGAAAACATTGAAAAAACCAAGATGTTATTGGGGGATATAGGTGCGTTGAGAAACATGATGGCACCTATTTGGGGAAAGGGGATACATTATATACCGAAACTGGTACACAAGCCCATTACTCAGTGATTTTCATGCGAGGAAAAAAGACAATGTGGTGGACAGTGCGTTTTTAATCGTAAACATTCCCAGGCTCACGAGGTGTTCGTGGGGTGACGTGCAGGTGTTTACTGCCAATGAATCATGGGATTACGGTGGTATGACAAAAGAGATGTCACATTGTTGACAACCATTTACCCTAATGAAAAACAAGACAGTGGCAAAGTTGTGGGGACTAAAGAAGTATTCGAAACCAGTGACAGTGATTGATTATCACAAAAAATGCGCTTGGTTGCAATGTGACAGCAGTTGGTTTTGTTGACTGTGTTGTAAAAGTTCAAGTGGACATGAAAATTTTTTCCATCTCATGGAATTTCAATGCGAATGCATTAATTGTACCAAATAAAAATGGTAACAGACCCCGATGGTGAAAATTTTTTTGTCTGTTGTCAAAACCATAATGAAGTACCCGGTAACAAACCCTGCAATACAAAAAATGGGCCTCGAATTCATCACAATATACCCAAGCGTTTGAGAAGAGAAGGTGATCTTTTAATACGCTTCCTTTAACTCAAAAGAAAATTTTCCAGAAGAGATCATGTCTGTGCACAAAAAAACGACGGACCCAAAAACCCCCAAAAACCTCGTTTATGTGGAGGGAAGTAAGTGCCTCTGTGCAGGTGCCTTTTCAAGGGGTTCCCAAGCTCCAGCAGTTCTAAAACCAGTCCATGATTGTAAATTGTAAATATAGATAGAACATTAGTATTATACAATATTTGTGCTGTTTATTTTGATAAAAACAGTGGGAAACAAAAATATGATAAAACTTTAGTGCGGTTATTGTGTTCAATACAGTGAATTTTAATTTAAAAAATTTTAAAAAAGTTTGGTCTCTCAGGCCCCAATGTTAGTAGGAATAGAAAAAAAAATTGGAAAGAAAAAAAAACAAATAAAACAACAAAAAAACTGGACCCCCCCCTAACATGGTCGCATAGCGATTTTTCCGCATAACGATTACTTTTATCGCAAAATTTTTGCCCCGCATCCCATTAAAAAAAAAAAGCATACCCATTTTCGTCCGAGAGCGTCCAATGTGCCCTCAATGTGCCGGCCGTCCCCTTGTTACCACCAGGGCCCCGCGGGAACTCCAAGCATACATCAATATTTTGATTTTACAGTTGTTTTCGGTGGTGTTTCGGAAAATAATGACCCCGGGGCCCCCCCCAAAACTTCTAGTGCCAACCCTGTGGTAAAAAAAGGGTGAGAATTAGTATGGAAATTAAAAAAGATTTTGAAAGGGGTTTTTGGGCTAACCCTGAGAAGCCCATGCAGTTGTGGAATCCATTGGGGGCCCACTTCAAAAATTAAGGAAAGTGTGCAGAGTTTTGAAATGCAAACCTTTATAGATGAAAATCACCCTGACACAGCTGTTGCAAGCCGTGCTTGTGACTATTTCAATGACAATGTTATGGCCCATTTTAGGAAAGTCTTGAAGAAACGGGAGGTACAGAGCTCTATGGACAGATTTGTTGTGCGACAGAGGTCCAGTGACTCTGAAGCTGGTCCTAGTGGCATTAAAAGAAGAAGGGAAGTAACCCCAGAAAAGGACTTGCTACCTCAAGTCCTAATGGAAGGAGATTCCCCTTCTAAACAGTAAGAAGATAATGCTCTCCCCTCCTCCCATCCCATCAATCATCACCAGATCTTCAATAAAAGTAAGTGTCATGTAATTGTGCATGCCTTTTTCAGTTTGTGTGTATTAAAATTAACATTTCATGTGGTAAAAAAAATTTTTTTTCATACTTTTGGGCGTCTTGCACGGATTAATTTTATTTCCATTATTTCTTATGGGGAAAATTAATTCGCATAACGATTATTTCGCATAACGATGAGCCCTCTTGCACGGATTAAAATCGTTAACCGGGGGTCCACTGTAATATAATACGCGTATGTGGAATTCGTCGATGTTGCCGCCACCACATCATTTTCTACAAACTTCTTGGCACTGTATCTCGGTAAGTACTGATCAGATTCTAATTTTTTTTTGTTTTATTACCTTCACAAAAATATGCTCTTTAATTCTGTAAGAAAAAATAATTTTTTTTTTTTTTCAAAATTTCTTGGACACTGGTGCGTGACTTCAGATTTTGGCCTTGGACCCTGAAAGGGTTAAGAGCATGAAAGGAAATATCTCTACCAACATGACATAGGAGCACTTTGCCAATACTATGGTTGGAAAGATAGGCAGTAGAAGAAGTCGGTCTTAATGTAAAGAATTTAGTCCACTGTGTGGTCCAAAACTGAGTGTGGAGAGGGAGTGCATGACGTGTCAGTCTTTTCTGAATAGAATGGGAAGGTAACGAAGTAACATCATTAGGAGATTGTCGTTAACATTTAGAAGTGGGACTAGAGTCGGTCCGACATGGGACGGGCCAGTGATTTGAAAATCGCCGCACCGTAGAGGGAGAAGCCGGAAGCATAGTCAAAGGAGAGCGGAGGTTGGACAAATCGAAGGAGTCAGTGGAAGCCCCGGTACATGAAGCGGGTGAGGAAACAGCACCAGCAAGAGGTACAGGGGCCTTAGGAATGTCCGAAGAGTGGTCAAAAGACGAGGCGAGGTCAAAACGGGGTGCGGCAACAATAAGGGGCCCAGGGGTAGCGGGGTCATGGATTGGGGACTCAATGGTTAGGTTACTTCTTTCTTTTTGTTTTTAAGAAAAAAAAGAAAGAAGAAAATAAAATAAAAATAAAACAAAGAATAAAAAAAGGGGGGACTGGGGAGGGATAGTTCCTAGGAAGAATGAAAGGGCTAGAATCTCCCTCTGCACCCAAGAGGACCTCAGCACCGCAAGTAGCGCAGATGCAGCATGGAACCTGTGACATACCCTACCCATCATGCCAGTAAACCAGCAATCTGGGATAGCAACCTCACATCTGCCGAGCTACCTCGGTGGACAAAAGAGAGGGCGGCCGGATATCCGCCACAAAGCATACCTCCTTCGGCCACCATCCCCGGAATCCGAAAGGTGGCTTCCAGAGATACATCCGTCGCCCGAAAGACACCCAAAGCCACCCTCCGGGATACCGGAGAGGGATCGGGACATCCCCAGGCAATCCAGATTCCATGGCAAACTACGCCACTGCCAAGAACCTCAACAGAATGGGATGGACCCCGGTACCCTTTCCCCTACCTAGGAACTAGCGCGCCTGTGGGAAAAAATCCCAAAGGCCAAAAAAGAAGGGCAAAAGGGAGGGGTGGGGAGGAGGAGGAGGAAAGGAAAAAGGGTCGGATGGGGAGGATGGGAGAGGGAAGGGGGGATTGGGGGGTAATTAGGTTCGGTCTGAGGAAGGAGACCGACAGGTCTAATTCCTCAGACCAAGAGCCTCTTCACCACGCCAAGGAGCCCCCCTTGAAGAGGGTGGCAGGAGCAGCCTGCTCTAAGCCCGTGCTGCCCTGAGTTGTGTAACTGATGGGTATATAGATGAGTGGCAATTTTGCTTCTTAGAACCCTTTCAAAGATTTTTATATTGTGGGACATTAGTGCTATTGGGCTGTAATTCTTTGCAAATGCTTTACTTCCACCTTTGTGGAGTGGGGCAATGTCTGTAGTTTTTAGTGATTGTGGGATGACCCCTGTGTCCATGCTCTCTGTCTATCATGGACCAGTAGACCTCAGTACCTATCTATCATGGGCCACTAGATCTCAGGACCTACCAATCATGGACCAGTTGATTTCAGGACCTATGTATCATGGACCACTAGGCCTCAGGGCCTATCTATCATGAACCAGTAAACCTCAGGACATATCTATCATGGACCAGTAGACCTCATTACTGTCTATCATGGACCAGTAGACCTCATTACTGTCTATCATGGACCAGTAGACCTCAGTACTGTCTATCATGGACCAGTAGACCTCGGTACTGTCTATCATGGACCAGTAGACCTCGGTACTGTCTATCATGGACCAGTAGACCTCAGTACTGTCTATCATGGACCAGTAGACCTCAGTACTGTCTATCATGGACCAGTAGACCTCAGTACTGTCTATCATGGACCAGTAGACCTCAGTACTGTCTATCATGGACCAGTAGACCTCAGTACTGTCTATCATGGACCAGTAGAGAACCAATGATCACCAATGTTACTTATGTTAATTGCCTATAATGAGGCTAATTAAGAGTTAGTTTCTTCCATTACTCTTTAATAAGGATAATATTAATACTTCATATCCAAACATTATTTACAAGTCTATCTTGTGAGGCAGAGAACAGAATGTCATCTATTTTGTGTGGGGAGGCAATAGAATGTTATCTATCTTGTGTGGGGAGGCAATAGAATGTTATCTATCTTGTGTGGGGAGGCAATAGAATGTTATCTATCTTGTGTGGGGAGGCAATAGAATGTTATCTATCTTATGTGGGGAGGCAATAAAATGTTATCTATCTTGTGTGGGGAGGCAATAGAATGTTATCTATCTTGTGTGGGAGGCAATAGAATGTTATCTATCTTGTGTGGGGAGGCAATAGAATGTTATCTATCTTGTGTGGGGAGGCAATAGAATGTTATCTATCTTATGTGGGGAAGCAATAGAACGTTATCTATCTTGTGTGGGGAGGCAATAGAATGTTATCTATCTTGTGTGGGGAGACAATAGAATGTTATCTATCTTGTGTGGGGAGGCAATAGAATGTCATCTATCTTGTGAGGGAAGCAGTAGAATGTCATCTATCTCATAAAATGCACTAGATTTCCCTCTAAACAAATAGCACTGCATCCATCTTCCAAACTGATGGAAGTCTGTTCGTCATGTGACGAAAGCAACAGACTTCCATCTATCTCCTAAGAAATGAAATAGATCTCCATCTAGTGTGCAAAAAGGGCCAGTAGATGTTCATTTAGTGAAGATCCAGGAGAAGATAGAAGGCAGGTGTCCCGGTCCGCTTGATCCATCAGGCTGTCCTGTCAAGCAAAGTACACAATTATTTTAGCAGTTTATATATTCTATATCTACTATATAAAATACTTAGAGATCCCTATATCTGTTATATAATCTAGCCAGATCACTATATCTGCTATATAATCCAGTTAATCACTATATCTGCTACATGATCTCCCGCTTACATTAATATTAACCCTTTCAGGGTCCAAGACCCAAATCTGAAGTGGTGCCCCAGTGTCCAAGAATTTTCAAAAAAAAAATTTGATATTTTTTCTTATGAAATGGTAAAGAATCTTTTTGTGAAGGTAATAAAACAAAAAGTACGAAATTTGATGGAAAATTTATGAAATTATGCTCTCGCGAATTTTGATGTGTCAGCGATATTTACGAATCGGCGATTTTGCCGACATTGACTCCCATTTTAGGCCAATTACATTATTCCAGTAAACCAAATTCTTAGCTATTTCACTAGTATTACTTCTATTCTATCGATTGAGCACAAGAAATCAGCAAGTCAACTGTTTCAACTACAAATTAAAGTGATCAGAAATTGTTAATTTGGCCAATTTAACACAAAGTTCAAAATATTCCAATTTCAAAATAGGGTCCAGAATAAACAATGTAGGTATTCCTGGAACTAAACTAACATTTCCTCTGTTCATTAGTTATGTTTTGAGGCTTTACAAATAAATTCCATTTTGATTTTTTATTCACATAATGAATTTTTATTCACACCAAAAAATTGAAGATTTACTGTTATGCAATACTGTAATAATTGTATAAATATCATCACCATATTTGTGAATGTATATTAGACCCACCAGCTGGCGTGTATTAGACGTGTGAGGTCGTTTGTTTACTCTTGAATATAGGCAAAAATTTAACATTTCTGCTACTTTGAGCTCAGTTTCAAGCCATTTCCAGTGCTAAAACCAATCAAAATCATCTCTATTTCTGTAATATGTCTTCCATTCTATCAATTGAGACCAAGAAATCGCAAATACAACTATAAAAAACATACGAAAAAACACTGCAAAATCGCTGTTTTAATCAAAAAATCATGATTTCAGTTTTTTTCTCATTATACACAGTGTGCTGCAGGATCTGTTTTATGTGGTGCACACATACCACATAGATGTATTCTCTCATATCTAGGCCCAAATGTACCACTCACAGTTTATCAGAGTGAGCTGAGCTCATGACGTAGATCTACGGTTTGGACCCTGAACGTAAAGCCGTAGATCTACGGGACGGACCCTGAAAGGGTTAATATTTACATTTTTCTCCATGGGGAAGTGGAACAGAATTCTTCCTACGTTGTGATGTAGTCCAGCTGGGCTTGTGAGGTCTCTGGGGAGACCTAATTTAACCAATTATATGGTCACACCTTGCCTTGGCAAACGTCTGTAGCCACGCCCATGTCTGAGGTCTTTTGTTCTTGACGCCTCAGACCTAGGTGTCAGGTCGTACACGTGGTTGTGGAGGGTGCTTGGACCACCATAAAAGCCCAAGGAAGAACATGATCAGGAGATTCGAGCGGAGCTGCTGCTGGGGTGCAGAGCTCCTGAGCAGAGACTTCGAGCGGAGCTGCTGCTGGGGTGCAGGGCTCGGGAGAAGGCTGCTGAAGTCTCTGGAGGAGACTGTTGGAGGCATTGGGCAGAGTACTGGCTTGGCGCAGTACTCGTGCTGTGTAGGTCTTGGGACCTGTGGCTTAGTTCCTGTGATGAACTGCCCTCTGAACTACATTGTAAGTTATATTCTGTTTCGCCAAGCTAATTGTATTCCCTGTCTCACTGCTTATGTGTACCACCCCATTTATCTAAACCCCAATGTACTCCTGTTCCCAAATATATTATTGTACAAGGACTTAATAATAAACTGTGTTTGAGTAGAATAGTAATATTCACTGTCCCCGTTATTTGCTATTCCTATTTCTTATATTTTATTATGTTGATATATGAGTGAAGAGTGGGCGAGGCATATGTTAGTGAGTAGTGTAGAGTTAATGAGAGTGTCGTGGTGGTCACCACTGACCTGTCATTACCTACCTACCTCCGCTAATCATCTCACTCCTAACACCGCGCCTGCCTCCCCCCTGCCTACATAATCCCTTACTCCCATTACCCCCCCTACATGACAACGTAAGTCATGCATGTTGTAAGAGGCGACTAAGATGCCGGGAGCAAGGGGCTAGTAACCCCTTCTCCTGTATAAATTACTAAATTTAAAAAGAGAAACTTTCATTTTTCTTTTTGGGCTGCCCTGCCTTGTTGGGATACTGCTGGTTTGTTGAAAGATGATGATTAACATTTTATACATGCTATAAATGCTATACCTATGTGATCTGGTTAGACTGCTATACCTGCTATGTGATCTGGTTAGATTGCTATACCTGCTATGTGATGTGGTTAGATTGCTATACCTATGTGATCTGGTTAGATTGCTATACCTGCTATATAATCTGGTTAGATCACTATACCTGCTATGTGATCTGGTTAGATCGCGATACCTGCTATGTGATCTGGTTAGATTGCTACACCTGCTATGTGATCTGGTTAGATTGTTATACCTGCTATGTGATCTGGTTAGATCGTTATGCCTGCTATGTGATCTGGTTAGATCAATATGTTGGCTATTCCTCCTGGCAGATTTGTGAAATAACTTTGTTTTTTCAACTTTTCCATTATAGAAAGCACCTGATGAAGTAAAGGAGTTGAGTGAAAGGCCTCAGGCATTTTTTTTTATTAACACACTGGCCGTCTCCCACCAAGGTAGGGTGACCCGAAAAAGAAAAACTTTCACCATCATTCACTTTATCACTGTCTTGCCAGAGGCTTGCTACACTACAGTCTAAAACTGCAACATTAACACCCCTCTTTCAGAGTGCAGATGCTGTACTTCCCATCTCCAGGACTCAAGTCCGGCCTGCCAGTTTCCCTGAATCTCTTCATAAATGTTACTTGCTCACACTCCAACAGTACATCAAGTCCTAAAAACCATTTGCCTCCATTCGCTCCTATCTAACACTCTCACGCATGCTTTCTGCAAGTCCAAGCCCCTCTCACACAAAATCTCCTTTACCCCCACCCTCCAAACTTTCCTAGGCCGACCCCTACTCTGCCCTCCCTCCACTACAGATTTATACATTCTTGAAATCATTCTATTTTGTTCCACCCACTCTACATGTCCAAACCACCTTAACCCTTCATCAGCCCTCTGGATAATAGTTTCGGTAATCCCGCACCTCCTAATAATTTCCAAACTATGAATTCTCTGTATTATATTCACACCACATATTACCCTCAGACACGACATCTCCACTGCCTCCAGCCTTCTCCATGTTGCAACATTCACCACCCATACTTCACACCCATACAAGAGCATTGGTATAACTATACTCTCATTCATTCCCTCTTCGCTTCCAAGGACAAAGTTCTTCATCTACACAGACTCGTAAGTGCACCACTCACCTTTCTCCCCTCATCAATTCTATGAGTCACCTCATCTTTCATAGACCCATTTGCTGACACATCCACTCCTAAATATCTGAATATGATAACTCTCACTTTGTGTTAGATTCTTTATCTTTTAACCTCACTCACTATGCAACTTTATCGACATGATGTGCTTGTGTATGTTGTACAATTCTCTCTGCTTGTTCAACTCTCGGTAACTAACACCCAGGTACCTATAGTTGTGTGCAAATTAATTGGGACAGGAGCAGTGGTGGCTCGTAGTGCCAGTAATACCTATACTATCGTACAGCATCAAACTTTTATTTTTAATAATTTATCTCGTTTCAACAAAAAAATAAAAAATTCCCTTATAAATACATTGAAAACAACATACAACAGATTTTTCCTGTAATATATTTGTCAGTTGCAAATTATTTTAGCATAAGGTTGAAGTCACACATCCTGCAGTGAGCATCTGGGGGGGACTGCAGCTCTGCGGCTTGACTGAATCGTACAGAGTGAACCATACACTGATCATATGGGAGATTATAAATTACCCACATTCAGATAGATAGAAAAAATGCAAGTATTTCCTGTGTTTGGGACTTTCATCAGGTGATAGTAAAAGAGTTGGAAGGAAGAGCATGATGAGGGTCTCAAGCAGACTGGAAATACTTGTGTTTTTTCTGCACTGTTAAATGTGGGTTATCTGTATGATTCCAGATGTTCCTTGTCTAACAACCACTACAAAGATTCCAGAGGTTCCTTGTCTAACAACCACTACAATGATTCCAGATGTTCCTTGTCTAACAACCACTACAATGATTCCAGATGTTCCTTGTCTAACAACCACGACAAACATTCCAGATGTTCCTTGTCTAACAACCACTACAATGATTCCAGATGTTCCTTGTCTAACAACCACTACAATGATTCCAGATGTTCCTTGTCTAACAACCACTACAATGATTCCACATGTTCCTTGTCTGTCTTAACAAACACTACACACATTCCAGATGTTCATTGTCTGTCTAACAACCACTATGATGATTCCAGATGTACTATGTCTGTCTACCAACCACTACAATGATTCCAGATGTTCACTGTCTAACAACCACTAAAATGATTCCAGAGGTTCCTTGTCTAACAACCACTTCAATGATTCCAGATGTTCCTTGTCTAACAACCACTACAATGATTCCAGATGTTCCTTGTCTAACAACCACTACAATGATTCCAGATGTTCCTTGTCTAACAACCACTACAATGATTCCAGATGTTCCTTGTCTAACAACCACTACAATGATTCCAGATGTTCCTTGTCAAACAACCACTACAAACATTCCAGATGTTCCTTGTCTAACAACCACTACAATGATTCCAGATGTTCCTTATCTAACAACCACTACAAACATTCCAGATGTTCCTTGTCTAACAACCACTACAATGATTCCAGATGTTCCTTGTCTGCTTGTCTGCCTAACAATCACTACAATGATTCCAGATGTTCCTTGTCTAACAACCACTACAATGATTCCAGATGTTCCTTGTCTAACAACCACTAC